AGAGTACAATCTACCTCTACCGCCTACAGTCTTTTCCTCGCACCACTCTGCACGGATCTAGAGTACTCTGAGCCGGTAGCTTCTGTTCCTCTTGGTTTCAACGTGGACTATTATGCCACGGATACCAAGCCTCTCGGTCACGACTTGGTGAGAATCTGGTAGGAGGGGGATATGTTCACTTCCTGTCACGTTAGGATAAATTCAGTGAACAATAGGTGAAGACATAACTGTTTCGTCAGGATTGATACATATTGGAATTAACACTTTATTCCCTATAATTTTAATATTAGGTTTCTTTGATTATCATGCTATATCTCGTACTTGCACAACTAAAATATTCCTGCCGTAACTCAGAATTATCACGATGAATGATATTAACCGTAGCATTCGGATGAGTCTAACAATATTTAGCCAATACGATGGCTGAGCCAATTATCGAACTGGTAGTATTATTATGTCCATACATAATTTTCATAAATGTTATACCTACCTCACTGATTAAATGATCGGACAAAAACAGTCGAGCGCTTCTTACTCTGTATCGTAAGCTGCAATATATTTCTTGTGACGTTTACACCCAATTTACTTTATGTCTTTCTACCAGAGCAAACATCTTTAACTGACCACTAATGAGTTTGAAAAGGAAGGCACTGCTATGCAAATAGATCTTGATGGGTTTAAGCTTTTGTTCCTGAGCCCCACCCGGTTAAGGCCCGTAAATCAGCAATTACCACCGAATTGGGTCACCAACATGCTAGCGCCGTCCGTGTGACGGTCTTTGCGGTCGTCGTTGTCGATCTTTCATCTGCGCAATTCAAGTCTTTTAATAGAGCATTACGGCCGTTGTAAATGTGTGTCTAGGTCTCGGTGGTGTTGAAAAACTTTTATGATATTTCCCCCACAATTCATCTTTATATACTACTAAATGTTGCCTTTGATATTTATTCCGTGTCAGATACTTGTTAAAGAGTTTATGTGTTTATTTTTTTCCTTGTTTTCGCGTTGAAAATGAGGGTCGCGAACTAGAATAAACAATAAGCTGCCACGGACCTAGAAGAGGTTGACCGAAATAGATATAAGCATTTGACCGTTTTGTTCAGAGATAAAAACTGTGATGTTCATTAATAATGAAAATATAATATTTTTCGGATAGTTTATTTCCAAAATTAACCACATTAAATTGTAGATGTATTTTATGACACTAAGTCCAGCCACTCGGCTCCATGTTGAAAATTGGGGTATTAAATGATTGATTATAACATTCCGGTTATAAAAATGTCCTTGATCTTAATCTGATAGTTCGGGAAAGGTTGTATGCACCTATAAAAATAATGTATTTACGCCTGTTTCAGAAACACTGATCATCGTAGATGTCAACTAATCAGCTGTCAAATGGCTTTTCAAATTTCATTTTAATAGCAAAAGGATGGTTAAACTCTCTGAATTGACCAGGATTATCTTGCTAAAAAAATGATCAATTCAAAGAATTTACCTATCCTTTTGGTAATTCAAATGATATTTTATTATAATGCCTATTTTCATTCTCTACCAGGCAAAATTTGTTATGGTAGAAAGTAGATGGTAGGTGCTAAACCGAAGAGTGAATAATACGTCTTTACCTATGAAATTGTTACTTATTAGCATCCCTGGATGGTATAACAGTTATCAACTCGTAGATAGTATGTTACTATCACGTTATTACAAACCCAAATAGTTTTAACAGCATTAACATTTTAACGGTCGCATTGCTAGAATGTACACGCGCGTACAGGTACGTCAAACGTCTCGTGTCGAGCCGACAGTTTTAGCTTTTGGCGGGCCACGTGGCGCCAAAATACCCAAGTAGCCAGTTGATCTTATGACTGCCTTCCTGCTGGGAAGACTGCAAGAGCATGCGGAACAGGAGATTATCCTCAATATTATGAACGTAATTCGTTGATGTCGGCAGTTAAACTGTCATTTTTGTGGGTTTCATAATCTAAATAGGTTATTATGAAATCCACAAAATTTCATTTATTCTTATCAAAAGAAAGACCAAAAAATTTTCACAGAAAACAATTATTATTATTTCACAATACCTTTTCGCTTTTAAAGTTACTTCATCGAACCGAATAAGAAACACATTTCGCGTGCATCGTAAGATTCAGGGTTTCCCCATTGCAATTGGGTAGCTCATAAATTTTATTTTGATACTCTTCTAATACGTGATATATAAAACCATCTCGAAGAGGAAAACACAATGTGGAATCATCAAGGATTAGCCCCCAACTGAAAATTTATAGCGCCTACAAATAGAAAGACGATTGGATCCACGGAAAAATAATCTAAATACATTTTTCTAATATTGTTCTTTTAAACGATGTAAGCTTTTAACTGCTAACTTTTATTCCGTCTAAAGAATTTGAAATGCATTGTGATTTGATTGCATTTCTTTTGTGACAGAATGTAGGAATCGAATAAGTAGTTGAACTGATGTCAACTAATTAATAACCTGTGGGACTGCAGCATTTCATTTCTCACCTTGTACCAGGGGATTAGCATCAGTGTGGTTTCCTTCGGGTTTACGCAGCTGGTGTTTTTTTATTAATGACGGTCTAGAGTAAGTTAGTACAGTTTTGGACTTACTATCGGTTTTGCCACAAGCAACCTCTTTTGAAAACCACCTCTTAAATTCCTTAGAAATTTTTATTTTATTATTTTTTTGTCTTTTCTATATTTGGAATGATAAACATTGGCCTTGTACCGAAGTTTCACAAACCTAAATTTCACGTGGGTAAGCACCCAGATCCGAAACAATCATGTTTGGGTCACACACACCGACGACATCGAGGCCTTGGCAACTGCGCTACGGAGTCAACTCATTGTTAATATGACTCGCTGATACGTTTAAAAAACTGAAGCCTTTGAGATGGTTCAATCACTTACACCAAACCCGGAAAAGTTATACTGTTTCATCTGTCAGCCCATATAGAATATTGGCAACATTCATTGAAATGAGAATAAAGGTCATGTTTTATATACCTGCAGGGCAAAGATTTCTCATAAAATTTATTTTATGAGAAATCTTTGCTTTGCTTTTTTATTTATTAAATATGCCGTTGACTGTTGGAACAAACTTTAACCTGATGTTGAGGTTTTGTTAAGCAAATCTCGGATAAGGGCCGGCTAAATTTTATTAAATTTTAACCATAATAAGATACGAGGACTATGACAACACTTGGACATTCACCGTTTTCCACGTCTCGAATACTCTTCCAGTAGATTATATTCTCTTCTCGCATCTCGCCCCTTTGGCATTACGAAAAGACTTAGGGTAAAAAAAATAGTTGCATTTTCTATTGCACTAATTTAGTTTTCTTATTAAAACTAACCATCAAACACAATCGATACCTTGACAGTTGGCCCCTACCACTACACAAGGAAGGAATCATTTGCTACGTATGACGAATTTGTTGCATCTGTTGTTGCCAGGTGTATTTCCAAGATTTCTTAGAGCAGAGAGCCCATGTCAAGGAACGTCCATAGGCGGTGGATTAAGCAAAACCGAAACCTTTTATCAGATTACCTAAACATTAATTACATCAGTGACTAACTTTTGATTAAATGTTCCATTTTATCAATGTTTTTACGTTAATATCTCAATACTGATATCTGTGCTTACATACATTCGGTGTTTGAACGTGATAAATGTTTTAAGAATCCGCTGGCTGTTATCAGCGGCTATCCCGCGCCGACCTCGCGCGTCTAGTGTAAGTGTCGATCGATACTTCATCAATTATGTCCAAGTGCTGTTGGCTACTGTTGCCGCGACTTTATTGCTATAGACGCACAAGGTTAATGTTCTATCGATGTTTGATCAAATATTGGCGGCAACGTTTTGATAGAATTCGACCAACGTTTGAAATAATAATGATCAATTTTAATAAAATTTGGAGACGTGATAGCTCAGTGTCCGGGCGCTCGACTTTAATTCAATATACTTGAGCAACGTGAGTTCGATCCCCGGTGCCGGCACCATGACATTGTTGATTTTAAGTGCTTACTTATCACGTGCTTAGCGGTGAAGGAAAACATCGTGAGGAAACCTGCATATTTTCCAAATAATGACAAAAAAATATTTCGAAGTATTTGAAGTCCACACATCCGTAGTGGGGTCGTGAGGTGGACCATGCCCTCATACCCTCTGTGCAGAGAAGGCATATGCCCAGCAGTGGGACAAGTATAGGCATATTTATACATACCTTACTTTTTTAAATTTTAATAAAATTTAAAAACGCTGATCAAAAGATCATTGCAATGTACAAGAATTTGTTATATTAGCAATAATAGAAGAACTTAATAATAACAACACTTTATTGGTTAGGTTACATTTATTGCCTATCAAATGATTAGTGTAGAATGAATCACATGCATGTTTTGTAATGAATTTATTGATTATTATACTATGATCTGTTGCAAAAAAAAACACTATTTTATTGTTATAATATATAAGTTTAACGAGTTTAAATCTCGCCAGAGACAAATATTTGTGTAATGTCCATAAAAATCCGCCGAGTTTTTGTCGAAAGTTATGGATAATCCAAAAGTGAATTTACGTTATATTTTGGAAATGGCATATAATATACTGGACGGAACAAATTTTCCGTATCTGCCAGAATGGATCACTTAGCTTTTTGACTTCAGAAAAGTCAAGAATAGGCTTTTACAATGTTTAAACGAAAGCGTAATACAATATGTGAATCCATTACAGTTTGATCTACAGCCTTACAATAGACGAGACCCATTATCCAGTGTTCTCAATATCGATTTTATGCCGGTAAAGTATCGTATAATCCGTTAATGGAAGGTTCTCGTCTTACGGCCACATTAACATTTGTTAAGACTTAACCTAAGATAAACATTACAAGAGAAAAGTAAATAATAAAGAAACATTACAAAAGAGAAAAGTAAGTAATATTTGTTCAAGGCCCAAGCAATTCATGCCGAATAAATTGCGACAAATGATCATTTATAACGAAGGAATCATCGAAAAAACATCTAGTGCTTTGGTATGCTTATTGGGTTATAAGAAATCAATCATCTAATTTTTAAGGTACCGTACCCAAAGGATAAAACGGGACTCTATTACTAAGACTCCGCTGTATATCATGAACCGTGATAGTTAGACAGTTCAAATTTTCACAGATGATGTATTTCTGTTTGCCGCTATAAGAAAAAACAGAATAAAACTATGTAAGTGGGGCTCCCATATTAGAGACAAGATTTTTTGGCCGTTTTTAATGATAATGTTACGGAACCTTTCGTGCACGAATCCGACTCTCACTTGGCCGTTTTTCTTTTTAATATCAAACATAAAATAGAAACCAGTAATAAATATATCTCATTTCAATTATCAATTTTAATGCTTTTTATTGTATAAATATACCCCTTTATACAATAAAAAGCATTAAAATAGTAAAAATCTACCTATATGCTAATGCATGCAACAGCAAAAATTCTAAAGACATAATTATATGGGTTTAAGTGTTCCGATAGAGGTATACTCGTATTTGTTTACTCTATGCTTTCAATTATTACACGCACATGTAAAATTTCATTGAAATTTTACAAACTTATAGTTTCAATAGAGAGGGAGTGTAGAATTTTTTTAATAATGCATAAAATTCATTAAATCACTAAAAACACCATTAAATAAAAAAAAACCGTAGAATTTCGACCACTACGCGACCATTAGTAATCAGTTAATAATTTATGTGATAAGATTATTTAAATTATGCGACATTTTACAATTTTCGTTAACTTCTAATATTTTTAGTACGTTTTTCAACGAGTTTACACTTAACGCATTTCTCTCATTACAGGACACAAGGACGCACGTCGTGGTGGAGTTATACGAAACCGAGAAGTCGTACGTAGAGGCACTGGAGATATTAGTAAAGGTAATTGGTTCAGCAGTTAATAATCTACCACTAATGGTTTAGAAATAATATCTGGCTAGAAACAGCGATCTGTTTTTAAATATTTTTAAATATTGCTTTGATTGTAGGATAACATTGTCATGCATTGTAATGACGTTATAAAATCACACATTATATGTGGGTCACGCAAATAGTTAATACCTCTGGGAATAGGATCTGGGTGTTGTCCTTGTGAAGTTTTGACTTTTAAAGCTTTAATAAAACACAGTATAATATTATGCTACAGTAAGATAAAAAAATAACATAAAAGCAATATTCAATATAATTTAGGTTTAGAGATTCGTCAATCGCTCATCGTCATTACAAGATACATGGAGATATTCTCTACTTTAAGAAATTCCACGTCCGGAAATAAAACTGAGCCGTATATTCACCCTCAATTCACAACGAAAGCATTCTATGCAGAAGAACCAACAGCTTAATGAGATGTTAAAGCAATCTGCGCCGAAAAGCTATAACCGTAACGGCGAATATCGCTTGGGCTTCCCCGACACACTTTCCCTGCACTCGAGCCGCATCTGTAAATTACAAGGGCACGGTAAAATTATAATAAGTCAGTCTTTCCTTCCATCCGTTCCGAATTAACTGGCGAGTGACAAATTCATTATATTTATGGAGCCGATGAAATACCAGGGTTGTCGCGTCGCGATTTATAGAGTTTTCCTCGTTTGCTTAATCTTTCGTTGCTCACACTGTTTACTGCGAGCCCCAGTGAAAATTTCGGAGATATATGCTATGTGGCAACCATTAAAACTGTTGCGCAATACGTGCGATCTAACGATGCTTGTGAAAATTGTTACGAACGGACAGAAACTCAGTAAAGTTTGGATATTAATTATGGTTAAATCGGTAAAATAGTTGCATATATTTGTTAGCACACAATCACGCAGAAATACAAACGAACATTATTAGGGTTCTCGTTACGCTTTTAGTTGCCGAAAGAGTCGATAGCGATGATATAATAATGAAAAATATAAACTGTAAAACGTCACAATTACCACATATGATATAAATTTTTTAAAATACCATTACCAATCATGTGCGGAATTTTGGAAAATCAGTAAACTAGGTTATAACGAACTATCCGAATTTCCAACGCCAAACCTGTATGGTGATTATCATATTTTAAATATAGGATATTTTCTTGTACATACATACGTCATACTTCGTTTTATAGTGATTGGGAATAGAGTTAATATTTGGGACACATATAATATTTTAGGACACTTTTTCACACAACGTTTTCTAGTCCCAAACTAAGCAATGCTTGTACTATGGGTACTAGATAACTGATAAACATACTTAAACATACTTTTCTTTTGTAAATAAATACATAGCATAAGCCGTGATAGCTCAGTGTGCGGGCGCTCGCCTTTAATTCAATATACTCGAGCAACCTGAGTTCGATCCCCGGTGCCGGCACCAATGAAGTTTTTAACTTTAAGTGCTGACTAATCACGTGCTCCGCGGTGGAGGAAAACATCGTGAGGAAACCTGCATATTTTCGATATAATAACAAAAATATATTTCGAAAATATGTTTAGTCCGCCGACTATGCCTTGATACATAGATAGAGGAGGCCTTTGCCCAGCAGTGAGACATGTATAGGCTGTTACTTTTTTTTTACATATCATACATATATACCCAGAAAAACACTATGTTCATCACACAATATTTTTCCAGTAGTGTTACACTACCCACTACGCCATTCGGGTCGTCAGCTTAAGTTTTAGTTTGAGGAATGATATTTGTCGAGGGCGCCGTATGGATATTTGATTTTTAGGAACGAAGAACTAGGATTTTTTCTAAATCAATGCAGCTGATACGTTTAGAATATACTGACATCGGTATTTTATGCATGACGCCAGTTCATAATCTCTAAACATAAACTGATACCTAACATTCCAGCATTCAAGAAGGGCTCATCAATAAACACCCTGCCTCGTTTGTAACATTGTAATTGGTAGGAATAAAAGAAAAGACAAATATAGAACTGGAGTAAAAACAAGACAAATTAAACAGAATGAAACTCATAACATCTATATTTCAAGTCTTTGAGTAAATTACGGAAATCAGTCGTCTTCACTGCTGTGACGTTTATGACAAAATATGGTTCAAAGAGATACGTTTTCCGGATAACCTTCATATTTATTACTCAGTTGACAATTGGGGAGATGTGATGAAATTGAATAAAAATTTTGGTGAAATGGAATTGAACAATGGATTACAGAAATATTATTTACTGTTGCGTTCTTAAATGTATATTTAATAAAATTCTATTGTTGACGGAAGAACTGGGTGAATACTAAAAATGATATTATGCATAAATATGAGGTAGATATTAATACTAGCGCACCAAAATTGAGGCACTCAAATTACAACAATCGGTGTAAATAGGACTGCTATCTTCCGTGTCATGCGTTCTATATTATCTGTCACATTAACTTATACAGGGAGACTTTTTTAAAGGTGCCCAAATTTACACAGGAGGTTCAGACTCGGTAGTATAATCGTTTAATGAAATAAAACAAACCTTTTTTTTTTTAAATACCATTCTACTCCCTTAAAATTTCATTCATAAATACCTAAATTTTACTGTTCACGCACACAAACGAACTTGTGTGCGTGTTGTTATGAATGAACGCGCGTAAAATAAATGAGTTGCGTATAATTCACGCACTTTTTGAGATAAGTTCAAATTAATATAATCGATTATTTACGAGTGATTTAAAATATTTATCTTTTTTATATAACGCGTCATCAATATTATTAAACATCATAGAATACTTTTTCTTTTTCTTCCTGAAATTCATTGATTTAATATCAATAACAATATAGAGAAATAAAAGTAAATTAAAGTAATAGCGGATCATCTGAACAGAGGGTATTAAAATGGAGAAATAGAAAAAGAGCGATAACGATGTTCAAACTACCTTTTATGTTACCTATATTCAAAATGGAAAGAACCATAATCCATTATTAAGGGAATAAAGCGACAAGGGACTTTAATACCTTCAAAGAAAGTGATAAAATGTATTCAAGACTCGTTATTTATCGGGACATGCAGAAGAAAGTTAGAAGGGTATGTTTTGTCCGATTAATGCGTTAAAACATACTGTTGGAGTATCATACCATTTAACGGGTGGTTTTAAGAAAGAAAGTGTCAAGCGAGCTCACGGCTCACCTGGCGTTAAGTCATTAATTAACCATCCATGGGGTTGCACACCACTCAGTAATTTTTAGGGTTCCGTACCCAAAAGGTAAAACGGGACACTATTACTAAGACTCCGCTATCTGTCTGTCTGTCCTTCAGTCACCAGGCTGTATCTCATGAACCGTGATAGTTAGACAGTTGAAATTTGCACAGGTGATGTATTTCTGTCGCCGCTATAACGAAAAACAGAATACAAAAATATTTAAGTGGGGCTCCCATACAGACATGATTTTTGTCATTTTATGGTACGGAACCTTTCGTGCACAAGTCCGAATTGCACTTGGCCGGTTTTTTTTAAAGGTGGCAAATGAGCTAATGGTTCACTTGATGTTATGTGATAACTGCAACCCATAGACTTCTGCAACACACATACGGTTGGATGTTTGTTGCACCTTTTAAAGAAGTACCCCGGTTGCCACAGTTATAAGAAGAAATGCAAAATTATAACATTAGAATATATTATATTACATTATAATTAGAATTATATAAATGCCTCATACAAGTTAGTCACAAGATGGATTGGTAGAAAGAATGAACAATTAAATACCAAAAAAATAATGAAAATAGATAGTAGTAAACTTAAACCTTAGTAAGTTAAATTAAATTGTATATAAAAATCATTACTAAGTTAAATTAAACTGTATTAAAAACAACGAAAACGGTTACACAGTAGTAAAATTTTAAATGATAAATTGATATTCCATTAGAGAAATCAATTTATTTTTAAAAACATGAAACGAAGCGTTAAAAATATGATATTGCAAACTTTTTGTGAACGATCTAGGATTTCTGAACTTCATTAATCTTCTAAATCAATTAAATATGCGAACTCACGGGAAACCTTGCTTATTATCAGGACACGCATGAAAAGTGGTTTACGGCAGTAATTCTAAAATACCACTGTCCAATACGGTGTCACAATTCAATCGCTGTGCCGACGGCGGGAAAATTTTCCGCCTCGTCTCAGGTAAGGGAGCACCTCCTTCCCCCAACAGCCACCCCACTCCCGGTACGAATGGCCTCGAAACGAATACATTCACGTCCACGTCTCTCATGAGGAATGGCCTCGTAACGTAAAGTCCACGTCTCGAATTTTCAATTCGCAACAGCCGTTTTGCTTTCCATCCGCCGGTTTGCAGGCGTCGGGAAATAACGAAATTGTTTCTCTGATGTTGGTATTTCCCGACGAATTAGAGCACTGAGAAATACTAGCATGAACTTTTACGATTATCAATATGCTCAATTTTGCAATAATCATTCGACGCCCCAATTGGCGTGGGGCTACTCCCCAACCTACTGAACCTACCTCCTAAACCTACTTCTTGCGCCAGAGAGTGTCGATTTGATCCCCACTACTAAAATTTTGTGTATTGAACATAGTGTTTTTCCAGTATCTGCGTGTTTACACATGTGTAATATGTATTTGTTTACATAAGAAAATTATGTTTAATTATGTTTCTCATTTTTCTAGTAACCATGGTGCAAGCGTTGCTTAGTTTGGGACTTGAGAATGTTGTTTAAAAATGTTTTCAAAGATATTTATTTATTTATTATTTACTTATTTTATTTGTAGTTTTTGTATGATGGAGACTACTTGTTAGTAGTAAACGTCCAAACTCGGTAGAACCATAGTCAATCTTGCTCTGAAAGGACGAGTATTTTAATCTGGTGTAAATTTTACGGTGGTAGGGCCACTCTCGGCTCCATCAGGCCCGTACGGCATTGTGAACCTAATAAAGTGGAAGTTGACACCTCTTTCGCGTTTCGTCTGGTGAGTGAGGTAGTCGGACAATTTTCAAAAGGTTGTCAACATCTGTAACCCTCGAGTGTAGCAGATGTCCATGGGCGGCGGTATTCACTTAACATCAGGTGAACCGTCTGCTCGTTTGACAACTTTTCGCATAAAAAAAAAAAAAAAAAAATATTACCTCTCTCCATCTAGGTACGCATTGTGAATAATAATTTGAACCTCTTTCGTTGCGGAAACGTCGACAGGAAAATCACAGTCATCGCAGTGATCGTCTATTAGCTGAAAGGGCGACACGCTATTTAAAGCTTGAAATAACCACTTCAGTTTAAGGTTTGTGTACGAAAAAATCTCGTATTGCTTGAAATAAAAACCTAGTTAAAAAGTGAATGCCCACGTTATTAAAAGATGGAAACGCATTAGCAACTCTAAGGGTGTTGCAATGTCAATGGGCGGCGGTTATCACTTAACCATCAGGTTCTTATATAAACAAAACCGGCCAAGTGCGAGTCGTACTCGTGCACAAAAATGACCAAAAAATCGTGTCTGTGATATGTGAGCTGTTTTTTTGTATTTCTTGTTATTGCGCCAACATAAATACATCATCTGTAAATTTCAACTCTCTAACTATAACGATTTATAAAATACAGCCTGGTGATAGGCGGACAGACAGACAGAAAGACATCGAAGTCTTAGTAATAGGGCGGGACCATTTTTTTTCCTCCTAAAAATCCTTTATGGATTCCCCGGCGCCTTGTGGGTAGGTAGCAGGGGTTTGTGTGAGTTACAGGGTACCCACTAAAAACCCAGCACCTGCGTTGTTGCTTTTGCCGGGGACACAGGAACACGAAAACGCAATCTTCCGCGAACTCCGGCGTGATTGTGGCCTTCTCAGGCCTCCTCTCTCTAACACTGGCTCTCCTGGCTCCCATGGCCCCAGTCAGCGAACTCGGGGGACTTCGTTGGCCTTGAAAATGAGGCCGAGTAGGAAGGCGCGCTGAATGTTCCAGCGCCCCTTACCTGGAGGCGAGGGGGGTTGTTCCCTGGGAGGGGGCTGGTTAGCGGCTAGCGCTGGCAGGCGCGCAGAAGTGTGCGAAAGCGTTCCCGTGAGCCTGCCGATATGCGCCAAGGTCCGACATTGCCCCCGCGAGGGCGGGTATGCCAAGGCATTTCCCCCACGTAAAGAAAAAAAAATAGGTTACCTCTCTCCGGGTACTTGGACACCCGGTCCAGCCAAATGGTGCCGTGTCGATGCAATAGGGCGGGACCTTAACTTTGAGTACGGAAGCCTAAAAATTACATGAGTCATCTCTGCCTACCTAATTGGAGTAATTTTTTTTATATCACTTGTCATAATGTAAAACTTTAATTTGCCTAAGTTATTGCCAATGGCCTAACTGATATTTGGGCTACCTAGTTACGTGCGTCAGTGTGTACGTTACATATTAACGCTATACACTGAGACTAACAATGAACACCACGGCATCACATTTTATCATATTTCTATACGGCTCAATGTCTGAAATTCCTACGCGTATCGCCTCATAACTCCGCAACCGTTAAACCTAGTTTATGACAAATCAGCTGTGAAATTTATAAGCAGCTCTAAAACGTTTTAACACTATTAGAACGGCGCATAAAATATACATATGCTATTCTCGATTGAATAATCGTTTTAAAATAATTGCTGTAAATGGAAATTGAATTAGTTTTATTTTATTATACAGTTCATCGAGTCTCTCTGTCCGCCTCTTGTCTTGCGGCTATTAATTTAAGGTCCGATTTAAGTGTTTCTTTTTTGGGCGCTAAATATATTTTCTTAATAAGATAGAATACATTCGAGTATCTGTATTCAGTTATTTATTTAAAATTGCTGCAATTTGCCGCTTTTTAATACTTCAACATAACTAGCAGGTATCCTCGATGGGAGTTATCAAATATTTTTTTTTGGAAATTTTCCACAGCAGTTTTAAAACTCGATAGAATACTAAAGCGTGTGACGTCATTAAATTTATGTTCACTAAAGAATGTAACATAATAAAACTTAAAATACTGTTGATAAAGAGCAAACTGTAATGGTTGGGCGTAATTCTGCTTTCTCATCAATGGAGGATCTAAATGTGCACAGTGCGCTGTGAACACTTTCGTGAAAGCTTCTCTTTTCGTTTAATTTTAAATTTTATTAGGAATTTTCAATCTGTGGTAGGGCCACGCAACAGATTCTGCTGTTGCACGAATGGGCAGGCTCGTCCTGGGAAGTACCACGGCCTCACAGAAGACCGTGAAGCGAAAGTATTAAACTTTCGCGTTTCGTCCGCCGAATGACATGACCGGCGCCTACATTTTTAAAGGTTGTCAAGGCATTATAAGCCCTCGGGTGTTGCAGATATTCATGTGAGTCGGTGTTCATTAGGTGAACTGCCTGCTCGCTTAATAACTTTCACATAAAATAAGTATGTGTGTGTGTGTGTACTTATGTACACGCGTTAGAAGTTATACTTCTTTAGCGTAACAAGATAAAAATCTTTTCAAAAATTTTGTCTTTCGCCTTATTCTTCTGCAAGAAAAAACGACACTAACAATAGAAAAAAGCCATTTAATACATTGAAAGTTTTCTTATAACGCATTATCTCACACACAAATATCGTGAACACAGTTGTCAGTTCTCGCGCAAACATACGTCTAGCTAACTTCGGGGTGTCGGTTTTTCGTGACGGTGTGCGCGCGCATCGTAAAAATTTACTCTCATAATTTTTTAGTATAACTACAAAAAGCAATTTTTGATACGAAACGGCATTTGAGTGATTCGTTTTCTTGCAGAAATATCTTCAGCCACTGAAGAGTCCAGAGAATGCTGGTCTACTGGACGCATTTGTCGTAGACGAGATATTTTATCAGGTGCCGGCGATACTGAACGTGCACCAAGTTTTCTTAGAGCAGTTGCGACGACGTCTCGAACAATGGGACCTCCAGCAGAAAGTAGGAGACGTCTTTTTGGACGTGGTACGCTCACTCCTATTTCAATATGCAATTTACTTTAGATGTATATGTAGCTTAATGACTAATGTATATGTAATAGTAATGTATATGCCAAAGTTTGATTATGATGTTGAACTAAAAGTACATAAAATCACACACGGAAATGTGCAATAAGTCAAATTTAAATTCAATTCAAATTCAAATATCTATACTGAATATAGAACATTTAAAAAGCAAACTTGCATTTACTTTTTTTTTAAATTTAGCAATTGATACATTGTGAACGTTTCCTGGGATTTTGTTGTAAAAACGTATACATTGTCCCATAAAAGAATTACTTATTCTGCGCAGTCGTGTTGAAAAGAAATTATATGATAATAGGAAATTATGTGATCTTTTGAAGCCGATTACTTTGCGTTTTATATTTAATACGTACATTTGAGACTTCTTACTTTTCAACCTTTTGATGAAAAATTCGGACCTAACTGTTTAATCACATTTTCCAGTTCACGAAACCCACCGTAATGGACACATACATGTCCTTCATAAACAACTTGAAAAAGGCGAAGGAGACAATCAAGACGGCGGCCGCGTCGCGTCCAGCCTTCGCCAAGTTCCTGGACGCCATGGCTCGAGACCACAAGGGGAAGTTGTCTCTCGACAATTTGCTGATAAAGCCCGTACAGAAGTTCCCCAGCTACAAACTACTCATACAGAGGTTAATAAAGCACACAGGTGAATAAAAAACACGTGAAAATAATATTACATAAATATTTATTTTTATTTTATACATACATTCATTTTCATATTAGATAATAAATAAATATTTTAGCACACATTTTTACTCAACGTTCTCTAGTCCCAAACTAAGAAACGCTTATTAAAAAAAATTATAAAGTGGGCCCAGGCTACCACACTCATCAGACGAAACACAGAAGTATAAAACTTCCATTTCACTTTGGTCTTCTGTGAGGTTGTGGTACTTAAACGGATGGAGCAGCCAATTCGTGCAACAGAGAAGACCATACTACAATTATTTTCCGTAAACTAGAAGTGCCAAAGGCATGGAAATAATTTAATAACATCTAACAAGCGCATCTTGCGGGTTGGTAGCGTCTAAGTAAAAGAAAGATTTTGTGTTAAAAATGCCTGTAGCACAGACCCCATCCCATATAAGCTCTTGCTTGAATTTTAATCTCAATACCTTTAAAACAGCCATCAGTAATAACTTGTCTTTGCTAACATGGAGCACAAAATCGTAATTAACATCGATAGATATTATTAATATTACTTAAATGATTCTGAATAGTTGCTTAAAGTTAATCAACCAGAACATATACATACTGTAGTGTATAATTGTATTTATTCGAAGATCTGCGGTAAAAACATATAATAATGGTTCTAGATCAATCGCATCCCGACCATAAACTACTTCTTGAAGCTCAAAAAGAGATCCACGAGCTTCTAGAGCTGATCAATTGCACAGAAAGGGAGAGTCTAGAAATGGAGCAACAACAGCAAACTTTGCGAGAGTTGGAACAAATGATTGAAGGCCTTTCAAATCTGGTGACGGCAGACCGGATGTTTTTACGCCACGAGATGGTCACAATGCCATCGGCACAGGGAACCATTAAAGACAGAGCTCTTTTCCTTTTTAATGACACTCTACTAATCACAAGTGTAAAGCGGAGGACGGGAACTATCAAGAAACCAATTCCGTGAGTTTTATCTTAATTCCTTTGAGACTAGTCTAGAAAATAAGAAGAATTCTAGTATGAGTAATAATTAGATTTTATTACATATTTTGTCTTAGAGCCAAAAATCTTTTAGCTAAAGATAACTGTACTATTTTATTTCAGAACATACCAAAGTAGTATAGCGAGTCAGATGGAAGGAAATAAGTACAAACTATTGATGAGAATATCTTTAGCTGATCTCGAAATTGTTAAAGGTAAGTTTATTTAATATTTTACCAACCTCTATATCTGAATCAATTAATAGAACTAATAAAATTTATCATTATTTTTGAACATTAAGACGTTACAGTGACTTTGAACGTTAACAGAATTATATTAATATTTACATACAATACAAAACACTACAAAAGCAAGACATTAACGACTGAAGAACACGTAATAAAATTTTATAATGACGTTGATTGAATTTTAATAACGTTGATTATTTATTTGTTTATAAATAAATTAAAAAAAAAATTAAAGTTTAAAGTCGGAATAAAACTATACGTTTTTATATGTCTTGTGATCAAGTGAGACCGAGTAAATAATATACCAAAATGTAAATAATGTTTAGTAGCGGTCGGTGAAAGCCTAAACGTAATTAAAACAATCTGTAGAAGACATGGTGATCATGAGTGATTTAAGTTTCGAAGACCTGAATCATCAACGGAAAATAAATATTTAAGTGTAGTTGATCCATTTAGATTCCATTTAAAATTATCATAGATTCGCTAATCACAGGTGTCCCAAAAGGGATTATGGAGGTTTAAAATGTTCATAGTAAATCTTTAAAGGCTTTTATCGATGTGTGTATTCACACAACAATACAGGAATTGATTATACAAATAATTATGGTTTCAGCTAAAGATGAAAACTTGAGGCGCATTATGCACGAAGTGGAGACCTTGACAGAGGACGTGAACACCTTGACCCAGATCTCCGAACACGTGGCGGCGTTGCACACACAGCATTCTCAGCTCGAAGAGTTGGTGAGAGAGATGCTACACACGCTGAACAAGCAACTGTTAGACAGACAGAACAGCGATACGCAGCTATGCTACATGGAGATAAGTTTGAACACGTCGTAAGTAAATTTTATATTATTTTTATGATGCAGGACTAAAGGGGTGTAACAAATCAAACGATTCATAACAAATCAAACAGTCATCAAAACATCAGTTGGTATCAACACATATTACAGTAGCCAAGTTTTACGCATTTCTGAACAATTACCTAATTCGGAAAAAACACGTAATAATTGGACAATGTACTTTTGATAGATCAAACGAGCGCGCTTATCGTGTTTATGAGCAAGAAAATGTTATTAATATATGATTTATGAAGTATATTTTAAAGAAACTCGTGGAATACGATAAATATACCCCAAAAGTCGGTTATATAATATTGTGTAATGAAATAACGCAGCATTCGCTCATCCGCGATACATTTATTTATTAATGGTTATGTATTTGATCTTAGGAATGGACCAGAGAATCTAACAATAATCTTCCCAAAAACCGACAAGCGGAGCAGTTGGGAGGAATTGATAAATGAGACCAAACAAAAATTATGTGAGTAAACCCTTTTTTGTAACCATAGGCATCTACAACCAGTAATGAGAGGTTGCAGATGCGTCAAGGTGCGTAAGTATATTACTTCCACTTCACTTGAGTAAGAGTGTTGTTATCTCTATGACATATGAGTTCCAGAGACTGACATGAAATCTACGAAAGCTATGAAAGGCTCCTAATTGCGCAGTTTAGAAAAGCCTAACTTTCGCCTGGCAAGCTTTCGCATTCAACAATTGAATTTGTGACATCATTAATATTTAATCCCGTTGTGTAAATATTCTCATTTTGTTTTTTTTTAATGTGATAAAGTGGCAAACGAGCTGACGGTTCACTTGATGTGAAGTTATAACCGCCGCCCATGGATTTTGCAACACCAACAGGGTTGCAAATGCGTTGCCACTTTTAAATAAAGTGGACCCGGCTCAGCAGACGAAACGCAGAAGTGTACCACTTCTACTTTACGCCGATCTTCTGTGACCAATGTGTAATATGGGAATATTTACACATACATACGGAAGCGTCTGAGATAACCCTTTTTATTAAGTTGCAAACATGGAAATTAATGCTCATCTAATTGGCTGATAAATCGCATTATTAGTTGCATAACTTTTTATTCATTTAGTATATCACATTTATTTTTGATAGTCGTGATATTTGAGCTGTGATAGGATCAGTGTCCGGGCGCCTTTAATTTAATATACTCGAGCCACCTGAGTTCGATCCCCGGTGCCAGCACCAATGAAATTGTCAATTTTAAGTGCTGAATTATCACGTGCACAGTGGTGAAGGAAAACATCGCGAGGAAACCTGCATATTATCGAAATAATAACAAAAAAAATATTTCGAAGATATGTGAAGTCCGCCAATCCACAGTGGGGCCGCGTGGTTAACTATGCCCTGATACCGTCTGTACAGAGGAGACCTTTGCCCAGCAGTGGGACATGTATAGGCTGATGCTTTACTTTTATTTATATTTATTCTATTCTCTTTCTTGCCTTGTCAAGTTTTAGTCGCGTGTTTATAAAGAAGATGTGTAAAGGCTTAATAAATAACGTGAATAGAAAATATCTCCGGTGTTAACTTCAGTAGTAATATTTAAGTAATGTAAATAGTTAATACTTTCGGAGATAACTGTAATGGTACTATTTGAGAATTGCACTTAATTTCGGAAATGAACTTTCTTTCCTACCAACTTTTTTCTTCTATGCCCAAATTGCAGGCGTATACGGCCACGAGAGGGCAGCCCCTGAATTCCTTTCGCCCGTGCCCATACGGAAGACCAGAGCTGGTTTACAGTTTACGTGTGCAGCACCGACATTACCACCTAAAGGCCAATCTCCAGACGTTTGGGTGAGATTTCATATGTCACATTGGAAATAATAAATATGCTGACTGGAGTCAATAAGACTATTTAATAATAAGTCAATAAGAATATTTAACCGACACATATTGATAACATTTCAAATACTGTATAAATATTTATATGATATCACTACACAGTATAAAACAAAGTCGTCCCGCTGTCTGTCTGTCCCTATATATACTTAGATCTTTAAAACTACGCAACGGATCTTGATGCGGTTTATTTTACTAAATAGAGTGATTCAAGCGGAAGGTTTATATGTATAATATATTGCACGTGTGAAGCCGGGGCGGGTCGCTAGTTCAAAATGAATCGTACAAGCCGCACTAAGTTCGCAGTTTCGAGTTTCAAGATCAATATGGTACGCTAGTAACGACTCTTCCATATTTTCGTTCATCGTATCAATCTACTAATCTCGCAAAACTTTCCACTTCTTACTGAATCAGTTAGTCATCTGTTCCTGAACGGTATTGACGAAAATACATAAACGTATACTGCAAAATACTTTCAGGTGTGCAATAGCGACGGTTACGTAGGCCAAGTTTGCGTCCTCACACTGACTCCTAAGCCGCAAGTGACCTCGTGCAACGGAGTGTGCAATGCGCGAATACTCTGCGTCGCATGCGTGCCTCCAGCGCCGGCGCTGACTCGACAACACACTTTGGATATACCGTAAGTACTATTCTGTTTTCAGTCCAAGAACCATTTGCATTCGAATAGTACATGGTCTGAAAACAGTATATTAATACATTTCAATGATTTCGTATATAAATTATCTTAAATTTACTATTTATTTATTTACCCAGTTTTTAAAAGGTTGTCAACACATCTGGAACCCTAGGGTGTAGCAGATGTCCATGGGCGGCGGTATTCACTTAACATCAGGTGAACCGTCTGCTCGTTAGGCAACTTTTCACATTAAAAAAAAATTATACCATGGTGTCTATAAAGTGGTGGGTAATCAAAGATCAATTATTTACTGTTTTGTTGATGTTAGGTAATCTTTAGTTACCATTATTTTTTCTTCTGCCGTCTATGTCACTGCGATCGCAAAAGACCATTTTTATAGATGTGATCCATGAATACCAGCAGTCTAGTTACAACAGAACATTGATTAAACAATTGAAGAGAATGTTTTTTAAACTCTTACTCTCCATCCCTTGTCAACTCAAATGGCAGATGCCATGAGTTAACGATGAATCTGCGAGAAATCTTAACTGGGAAATCAGTTTTTAAATTGTATTTCCCTACTTCGGCTTTTGGTTGAAAAATAAATACTTTTTATGCATTAGAATTATTTCTTTCCCAGGAGTACGAGTTCCTTAAACAGCACTGGTTCCACGAAACCGGGCATCAGTATATCGGATCCAGATGACAGTTGCAAAAATATTCGTCTCGACAGGTAAGGCGAAGAGCTAAAAAGCGTACGTATTTTTGCTTACTTCTCATTAGCAAGCGTTGTATGTCGTTTCGATTTCTCAAAACTCAACGGGAGACGTTGAGTTCCATGACATACGTCGTTTAATTTCATATAGTCTCGCAGTTGTACCTGTTGCTGTCTTAGTAGGCTGTCACAATGAAAAAATTACCACAATAAAATGGAATATTATAGGCTGAACTAAGAACACAATAGCTTTTTTTAAATCACGAGTTAAAAATGGGAGCTAACCTTGTGAAGGTTTGGCGAAAAAATATAAAATTCAAATGTAATCAAAGTTCTAACCCAAGCGTCACCTTTCCATATGATAGTAATGTCAGTGTCTTTACCAATGCATTCGTAACCGTTTACCATAAAGTGGTAGTATCATGCACCAGATTGTTGACATAAAAAATTTCTCAATTAAGCTCGTCATCAAGTGACGAAGAAGACGACGGCTCGTCGAGCGAGAACCAAGACGCTCAGTCCGAACGCAGCCAGGAGTCCGGCCGGCTGCACAGCCTAGCAGCCACCCTGGGCAACCGGGCTACCCTCACGCCCAACCACAGCAAGAGTTTGAGCACTCCCCACACCGGGCAGAGCATCCAAGTGCACCCCGTGATGAAATCCAGTTCCAATCCCGCAGTCGACAAGCAGGCTATGGGTATCACCTCCGGTGTGTGCTTTTTACCTCAACTAACAGTTTTTCATATTAGAACCTGTGTGAAGTAGTATCGAATTGGAACATTTAGATTTTCAAAGTAACCTTACGAACACTACAGATGGAAAAGTGTATGTGAAATATGGTAATAGATTTGATTAAAATTTACGATAGAAACAAGTTAAATTCAGAATTATGACACACGAAAGTACTATGTTTACAAAATCGATTAAAATTACTATTCGGAACTATACGCCAAGGGAGCAAAAGAGAAAACTTTGGACTGGGGCGTAAACTAGAGGGCAATACTCACGCCCCGCATTCTCTTATTTATGGACTCTGCTATAACTTCTTTAAACTTTACTGCACTTGGAGAAACTTTGTAGAGTTTTACCTTGTTTTGCATTAATTTGTGCGCACGTATTTTCAATTGTGGGCATATCACAGGGGATCTTAATTATGGACTAAGATCTGTCTAAATTAACAAAAATTTGAATCCATTCAGCAATTCACGCATTTTCTTATTTAAACATTGTGATATTATCTAAAACTTTTTGCTGAATCAAAATCTAATAAAACGTTTTTAACGTTTTTAACGTTTTACTGATTCGAAATCATAATATTTCTTTCTATGAATTTACTACTAACATAATTATAATTAAAAAATCTAGTCTAGTTATCAACTAATTCCTTGTTTTTGTAAAAATAATTTCTTATTTGATAAAATCTGAGCACTTTTAAAGCACTGAATGTCTTCCTCTTAGATATAGAATAATTATTAAACCTTAGTATGACTTTCTCTAATAATGGTAATCCTTTCTATTTTACTACTAAGTTCCTGGACGTATTATGGCTGGTATGAAAATTTAAAATATTTGCATGTAGATGTACCTAGTTTATTAATATTTATTAAAAAAGTATTTAAGTTGATTTTGGCTATTGAATTTGTTTTCTGCTATTTAAGAGTATACTCACTTTTTAATCACTTCAATAATATCGTTGCATGCCTGCTTACTTCTTCAGTGTTATGAATAAAATTTTAAGGTCGTGAACGTATTATGACAAAGTTTTTGCAATTAAAACCACATCTAGTCGTGTAAAGTTCGCAAATGAAATTTGAGAATCGTTCCGATTTAAAAAGTGTCAAAGGATAATTATAAAAACAGCACTATCACTGTAGGACACAAATTTGTCAGAATCGAGCATAAGAGCTTCATTTCCTTTTTTTACGTGAAAAGTTGACAAGCGAGCAGGCGGTTCACCTGATGTTAAGTGAATGCCGCTGCCCAAGGACATCTGCTACACCTGAAGGTTACAGATGCGTTGACAACTGTTTGAAAATTGGGCTCCGGCTACCTCACTAACCAGACGAAACGCGAAAGTATTTGTTACATTTCCACTTTACGCCGACATTCTGTGAGGTCTTGGTACTTACCCGGACGAGCCTGCCCATTCGTGCAAATGCCGAGGCTGCTGTGTGGCCCTTATACAGTCATTATGTTGTATCCACACATATTGTGTGTGATAATTAGATTTTTTTGTTTTAGTTTCTTTTTGATGTGATCAGAGGGCAAGCGATTTACAAATTAGCCACTGACCTTTTTTTATTTATATCTCAATTTTGTTTATCGAAGCAAAATCACACGTTGGCATATTCGGTAACGACCTTAGAACAGTTGTATAAATTGAAAATTTAATATCAGATATGGTCCAAGTAATTGGCATGGAAAGCCAGTTAATTGTATTTGTGTTAGGCATGAAATCGCATATTCTTGACACTCAATGTGTTCGGGCCAAGCTCATCATAATTTATACCGTGTATATGTATTATTTGGGACAACGGAGTATGTATATGTTTTTAGAAATCTGTGCCATTTGCAGGCACTCTGTCCTCGCCAGCCAGCCGCCAGTCTTCAGAAGACAGCGGAACTACAGCCAACCAGCCAACCATGTGGCTTGGGACCGAAGACGGCTGCATACACGTGTACAACTGCCTGGATAACATCAGGATCAAGAAGAACAAAGTGAAGCTTCAGCACAACTCCGGCGTTCACTCCATCGTGTATGTATCAAATTATTTCAATATCTAACTTTGCGTCCCTTATGCCTTTTTCACCATCGATCGCTAACTTTAAGGGACACCTAAAGAAATTTAAGAGCTGTTTTCATTTTCGCCACCTCTTAAGTATCGCCTAAGTCTTAAGCGTCTAAAATTGCCATTAGTTATTCTGTTTCACTAGTGCTATAAAATAACAAGCCTTCAATAAACAAGGGATGACAAAAAGAGTTTCACTGAACTTATTTCATTCCAAAAGTGATAGCCGCACTCCGTACTTTAGGGCAATGTGTTCTGAACATAAAAAATTCGAGAACGAAATCTTACTTACGCATGGTCCACAAATGTAAGTCTTGCTATTAATATATACATGATAAATTGCTATTTAATTTTCTAAAAATTACTTAGTTTTGAAAATTAATGTTATGAGGTTTTATATTGTAAATGCATATTTCCTAATTTAAGTCATCGTTATCATCATCGTTCCTGTTTTCGTTATTTTACGACCGGTCACCTATCTGACGTCCACCCTCCTTGGGAATATACACCCGAATCCCGAACAATTATCTGCGGGTCACACAAATATTTGTTCCGTGTGGGAATCGAAACCAAAACCCATGGCGTCGAAACCAATAGCTTAGCAATGCGCCATTGAGTCGATATTTCCTAGTTTAATATCATTAACGATCGACGACGGCTACAAACGATACCATTGGACATACATATTAAAGTGTTGCTATTTTTCAGGTATATGGAGGGCAAGGTGTTCGTTGCACTTGGAAACGGTGATCTGGTTGTTTACTGTCGCGACATTGGTAAGGAATTTCCTCGTACTTCAATTAACCTATTTGTATATGCATGGCAAGTACAAAAACGCTTCTGTTTCAATTAGCTGCGAAACAACTAAAAAACTAAAGCCTTAACATATACAAAGAAAAGATAGAATATCTTGAACACCTTTTGACATACATTTATTTGTGGTAAGGCACACATCAGCTTCGGCTGTTGCACGATTGGGCAACTCCGTACGGCTAAGTACCACGATGTTACACAAGACCGGGGTAAAGTGGAAGTGTTATACTTCTGCATTTCGTCCGAGACCCACTTTATTAAAAGGTGGCAACGCATATGCCACCTAACGGGTGTTGCAAATGTCTAAGGGCGGGGGTTATCACTCACCATCAGGTGAATCGCTAGCTCACTTGCCAACTGGTTCCTTCCATTCCTGGTTTTTCTGACATTGTTTTTTATATTTACTTATACGCAACTAACATATGCATCGCATGTGTGAGTACTTGAAAGCTAACAACAGACAATAAAACAGATAGTTCCTGGACGGAGCGATGCACTATATCAGTGGGGACTGGCAGCGGACCGGTTAGCAGTATGCTGTTGTCTGGTGGCAAGCTCTGGTGCGCCACGCACTCCAACATCAAAATTATCAACCCGCACACCTTGCAGGTAGCTGTATATCAAGCCTTTTATAAAGATACTAGCTGACCCCGCAAACACTGTTTTGCGATATAAACTATTTGTAGGGTAGGAAGAAATTTGTTATAAATCTATTCTCATACCCACTGAATATACATATAAATTTGATCAAAATCAGTCAAGCCGTTTCGATCGATCGATATTAAGAATACGATATACTTAGTCTGCCTTTCCTGTTCCATAATTATATACTACTCTTATTATTTCCATCATTATCTTTATTCCTTGGCCCCTACTATTAAATCGTTACTCTTATTTATAGTCAGTACCTGGTGGACCGAGCTTTTCTCGGTTTTTTTTGGTACATCATGTATTTTGGAAATAAAAAAATAAAAAATAAAGAAAATGACCTGGTATAGAAAAGAAAAAGTAAAAAAGTGTGTAAATGATCGTGATACGAACCGCGGCCGTCTGTTTTGGGGCTGCCCGATTACCGACCGAGCTATTATAACATTTTTTTTTTGCGGCGAAATTTACTGTCATATTCGAATGATATTTTTCATTCCCTGAAAACAGGGATAAAAGGACATTTTCTAAAAATGAATCTAGGCACATACTAAATTTCATGAATTTCGCTGGAGCCGTTTTCGAGATTCCGATTATATATATATATATACATTCACGAATGAATATTAGCATCGCCTTGAAGACTGCACCAAGTCTTTCAAGGCCAAAATTTGATAAATAGATAAAAAATTCTATATCCCTCAAGTACATGGAAGGGAATAGATAACCCTGTATTTTATTTGAGTACAATAAAAAAAAAACAAGTTTTACCACCATATATGTTATTAATTAGGATGACTTCTGTATATTTTAATTGTTAACGTGCAAAAAGGCACAACTTTCAAGGGGACATTAGTCGAAATTATATAGTTATTAAAAAGGCCTCATATTCCGCAGGTTGACGAAACATTCCAAATAAGCTCTGAGACGAAACCTATAAGCCACATGGCGGTAGCTGGCGGTTCAATATGGCTGTCCCTGCACAACGCGGCTCAGTTGCGTTGCTACAACGCGACCACACGCGACCAACTAGCCGAGATCAACATCACGCCGCAAGTCACCAAGATGTTACATGGTACAAGCATTGTTAACAATTGTTACGTAGATTGTGATTGCATCATCATTCCCACCAATATAATACTAGTATTGTTTTCGTTCGGTTTAGACTTGCATACCTTAAAAAGTAAAAAAAGGAACCCTTATAAGATCACTCTCGTGTCCGTGTTTCACTATTTATCCGTGTGTCACTATTTGTCCAATTATTTGCCAATTTTATTATGGCGGTATAACGGATAGGTACGGAACTCCCAGGGTACGAGTACGACTCGCACTTGATTTATTTTATTTTTATTTTTTGTGTGCACATACAAGCACTTTACGTCGCGATTAAATATCTAACGGTTGTACATAATTTTCAAGATCGTGAATAAACATCCAACATTAACATAAAGCCGTGTCCTTGATTTTTGTTTGAATCCTGTTAAGTTATCATCACTGTCACTACATAGTATAAAACAAAATCGTCCCGCTATCTATCTATCCCTATGTATGCTTAGATTTTTTAAAACCGCATCAAGATCCGTTGCGTAGTTGTGTATGTATATATATATATATATATATATATATACATATAATACATTGCACCCGTGCAAAGCTGGGACGGGTCGCTAGTTTCAGATAAGAAGGGAAACTTTTATGAGTGCCGCAAAGTATTGTAGGCAAAAATGCAGGACATTTTATATATCTTATCTTATTTAGTTATCTTATTTAAAAAAAAAACATTGCCCTTACTTTAGAATAACATTATCCTGTGTTGTAGGGACGTTTTACAAACATAAATTTCTCGCGTCCAAAAGCTGATGCGACGGTCGCTAGTTTCAGATAAGAAGGGAAACTTTTATGAGTGCCGCAAAGTATTGTAGGCAAAAATGCAGGACATTCTATATATATATATCTTATTAATAAGATAAGATATATATATATATATCTTATCTTATTACTCATCATTTACACATCATAATCATAGATAATAGTTGGTTTATTTAATGTTTTTCTAGTTAATTTCAACACCCCAACTACAGAAAATAAACCAATACTTTTAACTTTACAATTGTTACAACTATCATTATTTTATTTTATTTAAAATTGCAACTAATTCTCTAACTGATACATCCCCATACCATCCATACATTTAAGGTGTTTGATAGGACACAAAGCTTTAGTTAAAATATCAGCTGGCATGGCCGTTGTAGGAATATATTTTAAGTTTACAATTTTATTATTAATAACATCTTTTATGAAATGATATCTTATGTCTATGTGTTTACTCTTTTTGTGACTTGCATAATTATTGATTAGCTTTTGAGCACTTTGACTGTCATTATATAAATTTACAGTACACAAATCACCAGTTAGCTCATACAATAAGGACCTTAAATATATTGACTCTTTACTGGCCTCTGCAATAGCCATATACTCAGCTTCCATGCTAGACAAGGCCACTGTTCTTTGCTTTCTACTTTCCTAAGAAATTGCTGAACCGGACATTAGAAAACAAAAACTTGTATAAAACCTACGATCTATTGTATTGCTACCCCAATCCACATCAACAAATCCTTCTATTTGACCTTCCATTTTTGTATACTTTAAACAATACTTTCTAGTTTTCTTAAGATACTTTAATACTCTCTTTGCATAGTTCCAGTGATTACTTGTATAACACTTGTTAAATTGACGTAAGTAACTTATACGAAATGCTATGTCTGTTCTAGTTAAAAAAGTAAAAAAAGTAAAGTAACAGCCTATACATGTCCCACTGCTGGGCAAAGGCCTCCTCTATACAGAGGGTATCAGGGCATAGTCCACCACGCGGCCCCACTGCGGATTGGCGGACTTTTTTTTTTGTTATTATTTCGAAAATATGCAGGTTTCCTCACGATGTTTTCCTTCACCGCGGAGCACGTGATAAATCAGCACTTAAAGTTAAAAACTTCATTGGTGGTCAAACATCGAACTCAGATTGCTCGAGTATATTGTAAACTGACGGAACTGGGCTATCACGGCTCTAGTTAACTGACAATACAACCTCCAATCAACTGTTGATATGGAATATCATTACTACAAGATTCACCCTTTTCAATATCTAATTTACTTTCCATAGGAGTGCTTACAATCTTACAATTTGTCATATTAAATTTCTGCAATAAATAATCAATATATTGTTCCTGGTCTAAAGTTACACTATTAGATTTTTTATCAATTTGAACCCTCATACCTAGACATTGTTGAACCTGCCCTAAATTTTTAATTTTAAATTCAGAACTTAACACAGTAATTAACTTTTCAGTTTCAATTTCACAATTTGAATAAACAAAGAAATCATCAACATATACAGCAATAATTACTTTTACATCTTTATGTAATTTTGTGAATACACATGGTTCCAATCGACTCTTATTAAACCCCATTTCACATAGACATTGATCAGCTCTTTCATACCATGATCGAGAAGACTGTTTCAGACCATATATTGCCTTTTTTAATTTTACAATCTTTTTCTTATCACAAAAAATATCTGGCTGTATCATATAAATGTCTTCTTTGAGGTGTCCATTTAAAAAAGCTGTCTTAACATCTAGATGTGTTACATTTAAATTTAATTGAACTGACAGAGCAAACAATAATTTCAAAGTAGAGTGTCTGACCACAGGGGAAAAAGTTTCTTCATAGTCCACACCGGGCTTTTGGGAAAAGCCTTTTGCCACTAGACGGGCTCTATACCGAACACTGTTATCACTATTCACTTTCTTTTTTGAAAACCCACTTGCACCTCACTAAAGTCTTATCTGAAGGTAATTCGTCCACAGAATCCCAAGCATCATTGTCCTTGAATGCTTGTAGTTCCTCTTCCATCGCCTCAATCCACTTATCTTTGTCCGGACTAGACAGAGCTTCTTGGACGGTAACAGGATCCTGGGTAACTTCCGAACTTGACTTTATGCATATGTTTGTAAAGCCATAACGCTCTGGTTTCCTTCTCATACGCTGAGTAGGAAATTATTCTATCTGCTCATCTGCTTCTGTGGTTTGCTGTAATGTAGAATTCAAATCAGTCAATGCATTAAAATAATCAGATGTTGCAGAAATATTTAGATTATCAGCACTAGGAGATTCATCTTGTTTGTTAGCATCTTCCTTAATAATCTCAACATGATTGCCTAACTTATCTGCTTGGATTATGTCCCCAACTGAAACTGTAACACTATCATTTTTCATTTCAGTTATTTCATGGACTACTACATCTCTACTCGTTGTGATACTACGCTTGATAGGATTATACACCCTGTAACCTTTCACATTTTCAGCAAAACCAACAAGGATATGTTCCTTCGACTTAGAATCCCACTTAAGCCGTTTCTCCTTCGGGATGTGCACCATTACTTTACTACCAAATATACGTATGTGGCTTAAATCTGGTTTTCGATTTGTCCAGCATTCGTATGGCGTTTTATTATCTAAGCCTGAAACAACAGACCGATTTCTTAGATAGACTGCCGTATTTGTGGCCTCCGCCCAAAACTTCTTATCTAATTGTGCATCAAATAATAAACAGCGGGCTCTCTCTACTATCGTTCTGTTGATACGTTCACTGACGCCATTCTGTTCCGGAGTATACGCATTTGTTTTTTGATGAACAATGCCCTCATTCTTTAAAAAACTTACAAATTCATTGCCACAAAATTCTAGACCATTGTCAGTCCTAAACAATTTTATTTTTCTACTCGGTTGCTTTTCTACTAATGCTTTAAATTCTTTAAAGTACTTGAATACCTCATTTTTAGCTTTAAGACAGTAAACAAAAGCCATGCGTGTACAGTCATCAACAAAGACAACAAAGTACCTTGATCCTCCTATTGAGCTGGTCTCCATAGGTTGGCAAAAATATCAGCGTGGATTAGGTCCAATGGATTGCTGCTCCTTGCTGGTGCATGAGGAAAGGGTAATCGCGACTGCTTCCCTTCACAACAAATTGTGCAAGTACTCTTTAATTTATCCGAGTATGATATACCAGTGACTGCTCCATCTCGCATTTTATTCAAATCATTTACATTAATATGTCCCATCCTCCTGTGCCAGGTCACTTCACTCACAGTTGCAGCTGATGTAAACAAACACTGTTGTTTATTTAGTCTCAACTTGTAAACACCATCTACTTGTATTGCAATTGCCACCAATTCTTTCTTTATATTGTAAACACAGCAACAATTGTCCTTGAACTCAACACTATTGCCATTTTTTATCAATTGACTAATTTAAATCAAATTTGTAGTGAGATCAGGTACACACAGAACATTTTTCAAGGTAATCTCATATTTGCAATTTGGAGTGACTGTCATAATTTCCACTTCACCGGTGCACAGGACTGGCATAATACTTTCATTTGCTGCTATAATTTCTTTAATCTTTAGCGAATATAATGCATTATTTATAATATTTAAATCCGGCGTCATGTGCGCACTCGCACCACTGTCTAAATAAAAGTCTTGTTTACTAAAGTTTCCGTTCAGGAAAACAGCCGAAAAAGCATTCGTCTTCTTTACGACTTGTTGCTGATCATTCATTTTACACTGTGACTTGTAATGACCATATTGACGACAACGGTAACACTTAATATTCATTTTTTCTTTGTTATTGTTCATATTCGAGCCGGCCATAGATGACGTACGGCGGCCATGTTGGGTTGAATTGTCATTTCGGCCAGTAGTGCCAACTTTAGAATACTGTTGACGACTCTTCTGCCCTCTACTTAAAAAGGCGCCACCGGCGTCATTATTTTCGTTACTGCCTTCAAGATCAAGCAATTTTGCTTTCATGACATCTGCAGTAATGGCGATTCCCGAATGTTCGATGGCCATAATCATAGGAAAATATTTTTCGGGTAAAAGTAAAGTAAAGTAACAGCCTATACATGTCCCACTGCTGGGCAAAGGCCTCCTCTATACAGAGGGTATCAGGGCATAGTCCACCACGCGGCCCCACTGCGGATTGGCGGACTTCACATATCTTCGAAATATATATTTTTTTATTACTATTTCGAAAATATGCAGGTTTCCTCACGATGTTTTCCTTCACCGCGGAGCACGTGATAAGTCAGCACTTAAAGTTAAAAACTTCATTGGTGCCGGCACCGGGGATCGAACTCAGGTTGCTCGAGTATATAGAATTAAAGGCGAGCGCCCGGACACTGAGCTATCACGGCAATTTTTCGGCCAATAGCAAACTTCCAATCCACTCATCGTCGATTTTAAAACCGGTACCAGATAATCTTTGTGCAGTTTCTATGATTTGCGTAACATAAATTGTCATCGAATCAGAGTTTTCGCGACGTATTGAAATTAAATTCCGCAACAGGGTAATTCTTCTAGAGAATCCGGAGTCATCAAACATCGACTTTAGTTTTCTCCATAAATTCACGGCACTGGTAGCTTCTTTGGTAAAGGTAAATAACTTTAACTCCGGCGTAATTCAAATCAAATAAATTTTAAACGATAGAGATAAATCTCTAATGAATTAATCAACAAGCAGAATTCGGCGGTCGCTTATAGTTTTCGAGAAAATAAATATTTAAAACTTGTTTTTTGTACTAAGAAATCCACCATTTTATTCGTTTGACTTTAAAAGTTCTTTACACAGTTCTGCCAACATGATAAATATAGGAAGCGGGCGACATCATACACGTATCGATATTCCGATTTTTTAAATTTAATGAGTCACAGAACCGACACAGAGCGAATCCGACTCGGATAGATTAGGTTAGAAGGTTCAGGCGGGAGCGGAGCTCCCGCCTTAACCTTCGATGTTAGGTTTTTTTTTTTATGACCACCAAGAAATACGAGCTGAATTGACATATTGACAACAAAAAATGGCGGATTTCTATAGTAAAAATCACACTATTTCATTATTTATTTTTTCGAAAACTATAAGCGACCGCCAAATTCTGCTTGTTGATAAATTCATAAGTGAGTTTTCTCTATCGTTTAAAATTTATTTGATTTGAATTACGCCGGAGTTAAAGTTATTTACATTTACCGCTTCTTTAATATGCACGTACAATGATGGATCTATTGTTAAAACCAATCTGGCTTTCGCTTTTGCATCATTATCTTCATCCACGGCTAAAACGCATTTTGATAATCCTTCCAAAACCAACATGTTTTCTATCGCAAAAGCCCACTCGTTGTAGTTTTCTCGGCCTTTTAGCTTTGGAACAGAGGCAAGTAAAGAATTTGAAGCCATTTCTGTTGATTTAATCTTCTGCCTTGAAACTCACAAAAAAAAACGTTTCTTTTTATCACTACAGCCTACGCCTATTCTAGCTAAATATCTAACTTTCACAAAGAAACTGTAGATACTAAAACTGATCTAGAAATCTTTAGGACATACTGGGCCCATAACCTATTATAATTTATGATTGATTTTAAAATGAAACAACCGTTTTTGTTCGTGGCAGGATGACGAAGGAAGTCTTATATATTGAATACCACAGACAATGCCATAAGTAAAGACATCATAATTTTATACATCATAATCATAGATAATAGTTGGTTTATTTAATGTTTTTCTAGTTAATTTCAACATGTAGTTTAGACATATTATGTACTAAAAGAAAGTAATTGCGTTCGGGGTAAAGACTAGTAAATCAACTCTACTTCAAGCGTTTGCAAAATCTTGTTTGTTTTGATTATGATTTTCCATATGTGTTCCGGTCTGTTCCAGGTTGCGACGAAATAATTCGCCAACACAAAGCGGCCTGTCTCCGGGTGACCGCTCTGCTAGCTCATCGCGACACCCTTTGGGTGGGCACCAGCGCTGGGGTGCTCCTTACCGCACCCCTACACAACTCACCCAACCCCAGAACCGGGGCGTTCACTGTACCTCAACTCACTGGTCAGCGATCTTTTTTTTATGTGAGAATACGGCAAGGGAGCTGGCGGTTCACCTGATGTTAAGTGATAACCGCCCCCCGTGGACATTTGCAACACCCGTAGGGTTGCTAATGCATTGCCACCTTTTAATAAAGTGGGCACCGACTAGCACACTCACCAGACGAAACGTCAATGTATAACACTTCCACTTCACGCCGGTCTTCTGTGAGGTCGTGGTACTTACTCGGACGGACCTGCCCATTCGTGCAACAGCGAACACTGTTGCGTGGCCGTACCACAGTTGAGATGATCTGACACTGTTTCCTTGAACTTATGAAACATGAACATGTTTTGAGCATAACGGGGTATAGAAAGATAGAGACATTCGGTGAGCTTTTCGCTGCACACTGAGCAGAAATGAGTGGCAGCGATTTTTAAAATTCCCTTTTATGGCAAATCTGTTAAACCAAGCTTAGCATTGGCTAACACTGTCACAATCCCTACAAAAAAGTTCTAATAAGGAATAACACTCGAAACAGAAAATTTTGCAAATTTCATATGTAAGACTTATACAAAGGTCATGGATATGAATACTAAATGAGGAGTACAAGAAAAATAAAAAGCATAAGATACAAATATTGCCTGATGTTGCTGAGAGTGGAGTTAATACACATTTATCTTTGTGATGCAGAAAGTAATTTGAGAGTCATCATAAAAACAGCTATTGTTATCAGTTAGCCCATTAAGTGTTTGTTCAAGCATCTCTATTTATGGAAACTAAGAAGAGAAAAATTTGGGACTTTTTAGTATTATTACCAACTTCAGTTTATCAAGAGGAGCTTCAGGATCTTTTTCTGAACGCACCGGTTAACCAACGCTTTCCACGCCCTTTACACAGGTGCATTCTGCGTTGATCATTGCTTCATCGTCAACGCCCGCGAAACCATATTCTGTATAGTCAACTTATAATACAGATCAGGGAAATTAACAATTCCATTTTAGTATTATATAATAATTCTGTGATAGGCCCGATCTGCCCTGTAGACTGGGTATTGTAGACCTCTTAAGCATATTGTTGTTCCAGGTATTACGTACGGTCACACCGGACACGTGAGATTCTTGACAATAGTCGAGAACCCCGCGCCGCAGAAGCAGCCGGCCAAGCCGGCGCAAACTCTAAAGACGAAAGCGTTGAGTCGTCGCTCGACCAACGCGGAGAAACTGCAAAAACAAGCGGAGGGTACGCAGAGCAACAAGGAGACTCTGATCATATCGGGCGGTGACGGCTACGAAGACTTTAGGAGTTCCACAATGTCCGAAGACGCGGGCCGCGAGGACTCCACCAACCACTTGCTGCTTTGGAGGGTCTGATCCCCGGCCTACAAGGCTCAACGCTCGCCGAAAAGCAAACTGAGACGTTTCGTCATAAAGTTTTGATTCAGTGTTAGGTGTCCCAATGACCTTGAAATGTCAGTTCGGAAGAAGCCTAAATTCATGTTTCGTTTACAGCTTTTTGTAGCAATGTACGGTTGGGTGAACGATAAGTATCGTGATGCAACGAGATTATTATGTTAAGACATTAAATGTCGAACAGAGATTATGTCGAAATACGAAACACGACTCTTAACGATTTGCAGTATTATTTGAAGATTCGCTCTTATGGACCATAACGGCCTGCTATGTACCTTGTGTAGACGGTTTTAAATGATTGTGTTTTAGAAGAGAAAATTAACAGAAACTATCGTGTAACTATCCATATCAACAGTCTATTGAATGTCCAATTTGTATGTTTAAATAATTGTGCCATGTGTATTGGGGTTAACGAAAATGAGGGTATAAAAACATTCTTTAGGTAACTAAAATTGTTCGTTGATTTCGTTTTATTGAAATATACGAAATGTACAGATGTTTATTGTTGTAATAGGATTTAGGATGGGATTAGCCTTTACGAAATAAACAAATGTTAATGTAAAACGAATATTATGTAATAATTTTTAAGCACATTTGAGAATATTTAATAAATGTACGAAATCAACACGTACATGTACGTATTTTAGAAACATCTGTTTTGCGCTTTCTGTGACAATGTTATTTAATAAGTTTACAATTTTATTTGAGGCTTGTATAATTGATATGACTGCTTTATACCGTTTAAACATTAAAAGTACTTTCGGAAAAATTCATTCTAGCGCAAATATTCATCTATTGAGGTATATTTACTTAGATGGAGCGATGTTCTCTATGTAACAAAATCATGTTTCATGTCTGTACTACTAAGAATAATGTATCTATGTGTAGTGTCAAAGATTCCTTAAAAATTAATCAAAAAAATTAAAACTGCTCAATATATTATTCACTTCAAATGTTACCTATCCAAATAGAGGCGTAACAAATAAAAGGCTTGGAAAAAGTAGGTATCCTGTACTTATAACATTGCAGAATGATTAAATGATGTCGCACTAAAATAAGTCTTTTACTTTACATCAAACCTTAGCAAAGTAGCCAACAAAAAAAAGAGAATAAAACAAGGTATTCACGGTTCATGAGATACAGCCTGTTAACAGACGGACAGACAGACAGACAGCGGAGTCTTAGTAATAGGGTTCTTTTTTACCCTTTGGGTACGGAACCCTAAAAACAGACTGGATAGTTTAGAGTTAAAACTAATGCCCATGGACATTTGGTATATCCGTAGGGTCGCAGATGCGTTGCCACCTTTTAATAAAGTGGGTCCCGGAAAGAAGAAAGATCACCAGACGAAAAGCAGAGATATAACACTTTCACTTTACGCCGGTCTTCTGTGACTTCGTGGTACTTACCCGGACGGACCTGCCCATTCGTGCAACAGCCGAAGCTGTTGCGTGGCCCTACCACAGTAAAACTTACGAGTATTTATCAAAACTTTACGTTACTTCTAGGACAGATTCATCAAAAAAAATATTATTTATTATTTTTAAACAATCGTCTACTCAAAACGATTCGCAATTCTTTTTGATGATTTTTTCTAAGTATCTATTGTCACCACTTCATGATGATTCTTTTTAAGTACTTATTCGTCCCAAGTTAACTGGTATTTCGTTATAATATATATAAAACTGTTTTGGCACTTCGCATTCTCCATAAGATGGGCTCAGGGAAAATGTGTCTGCTACTTTGTTTGAATATAACAGGATTGGTCAAAATAACAAAACTAGTCAACGTTTAAATAAATGTTTTTAATGTCGATTGCTCAAAGGGTATCCATAAAAATATTAAAGGCCCTCGCTCGTGTATTATTTTATGAACTTTATGAAAGAAATTTCTTTTAGTAAAGTGACCGAAGAAGATGTCCTAGACAAAGCGAAGTGCACAGAGACAATCACTAGAATGGAACCCATCGAAGAATAGTTACAAAGGCAAAGAGGAAAAAGAAGAAATTATTGTAGATAGCTTTTTTCATCATATATTATAGCTATTTTCTGGGTAAATATACAGCGTGTCGTTACCACGGCGACAATAAATGAACACACATATAGAGGATAAGTTTTTAAAATTGTATTAAACATTTACATTCTTTAAACATCAATATTTACCGAGTTATTAAATTTTCCAAAACAAACAATTTCAGAACACCTTGACGTATAAAACTGTAACTGTAAAGTTCATTTGTAAAGGTCACAAAGCATTTGAATGGGTTGAATGAATTTAAAAAAGACAAAACATACTGTTAGCTTGTAATGCAACGCTGTGGCATCGAATGAAAAAGTCTCTGAATGTATGAATCACTCAATTGTAGTTGTATAGGATATTACAAATTTTGTTTCTTTTTTTACCTAATTAGTTTGTTTGAAAAATATTATTTTTTTATTATGGATTTTTTATGGTTTATATTTTTTTATGATTATTGGCAAGTAGCGTTAGACGCGTGTTCATTTATTGTCGCGGTTGTAACGACCCGATGTATATATGTTGCTTAAAATAAGAGAGGTAGTCAGCAGGGCGAATTTTATTCATAATTGCGCTAGTTTAATTACTTAATATCTTAATAGGTACATCAATGTTTGATTATGTTATTAAAATCTTCTGTACGTACTTCTTACATCTATCGTCTACAATACTAAAAATTATTTTTTGATACGGAAAACTTTTTCAATCGCACATTGTCGCCACTTGGGTTATGAAAGCCTCTAAATTGTCTTCACGTGTTCCAGAAATATCACTCTTCTTACCTCTACTAACGAAATAAGGGTCAACTTGAAGTTGAGCCGTAAGTTTTTTCAATATAGTGCGCCTATCCCTTTCATTATCGTTTATTTCTCTCTTCACTGTTTCGTCTTCGTCTTTCAGCGTTAGTAAGTCTATAGTCGAACAAATCAAATCTACCGCCTTCTCTAATTCTTCTTTTAAGATGGTCGTGTTTCCAATTTTAACACCATTCATATCTTTTTTACCTCTAGCAATATAGTATGGATCATTCCTGACGGACTTCACTAGTTCCTCTATGGCTCCGCGACGGCCTCTAGATGCCTCTTCGAAACTTTTATTCATTAACTTCTTTCCCCTAGATATAAAGAAAGGATCATCTTCCGCCGAAGAACGACTGCTTCTCTCAACTAAAATGAACTGCGGTTGTTCTGCATAGACTCGGTCATCGAGTACAGTCGCCGATTCTGATGGCTTGAAACGTAATCCAAAAATGGCAGTAGAATTTTTATTGATCCCTTCACGACCTAATCTATTTGCTAAGATACCTTCTAATGACTGTGTCAATCCACTTTGTCGATCTAAATAAGATAAGTACGGCGTAGTTATTTCGTTACTACGACGAAATCTTGAGAGGTTCTCAATGTCATGCTGAATTCTGGTCATGGTTTTCATAATGGTATTTGTTAGTGCTGCTTTACGCCTTCCTCTACTTCCCCAGAATGGTTCATATTGCTCGTAAGTATCACTTCCGCTATAGTCTTTTCTTCTGCCACGGCTTCCCCAAAAAGGTTCATCGATTTCTCTTCTGCCTCTGTTTCCCCAAAATGGCTGAGTCTCATCGCGCATGGCTTGACGTACCCAGTACACTTTAGCACTTCGACCACCACGGTTTCCTCGAAAATTATCTATATAGAATGGATTTCTTGAAATTGGTGCGGTAGTGTGCTTTTCGTTCTTTATGATAATTCCTTCTCTTCTGCCTCTATTACCCCAAAACGGCAATTCTTGTTCTCTTCGTCCTCTGGTTCCCCAAAATGGCTCATCATCCTGCCTTCTGCCTCTGTTTTCCCAAAACGGATTGTAACGACTAGTATCGTCTTCGACTTCCTTCGAGTTTCTTCTACCACGATTTCCCCAAAAAGGTGACATTGCCTCATTAACACCATCAAAATTTTTTATTAAAGTTTTAAAGCAATTTTCACAGTTTTTACTTGCAGTTTCATATGCATGAGGATTGATTTCAACAATGTTATTAGAGTTGTCTGCAGAACTATCTCGCCTTCCCCTTGTACCCCAAAAAGGTTGCTCTAAATCATAATTTATTTTCTTATCTTTATCTTCTAGGTCGAAGTCAAATATTTTAGTGCTTAAGGGTATTAACAATTTTTCGTTTTCAGCATGAAGCGCCCTTTTTATTCTGTTGCTGGGCTGTTCATTTGAATATATATTCTGATCGCTCTTATGGATCGCCTTTAGAGAGGTGTGATTACCATTTTTAATACAAGCAATAGGATTTGTCAAAATCAGTAGAGAAAATAATGCAAATAACCACTTGTTCGCCATTTTGTTTTCTGAAATTGAAAAAGTTTTTCAATTATATGTTTATGTTCTATAGATAGAGGAAAGTGTAATTACGCCCTTACATAAGAAAAATATTCATGAAGGGTAAAATCTGAATAGTTAAATAAATTTTAATTTTTAAAATAAAAAGTACCTTAAATTAAGAACTTCATTTCATTTTTTCATTCAAGAAAAAAAAAAGAGAAAACTAAAATTCGAAAGAAAATTAAACGGTTGTAATGTATATTTTTTTAATTTTGCCCAAGGTTATGTATCGTAAGTTTTTTACACTTACAGTACTTTTAACATTTACTTACATTATCTTTCCATGTAGTCTTTCTATGTTTTCCAATTCATAATAACCACGAACTTTCCGATTGTCGGAGACGATGTTAGCCACGGGACGGTTGTTCTGTTATTGAATAGTTGAGATTTTACCGCAGGCTTATATAGTAGACCAAGAAGCAGGCTCGTTCCCGAGGGCTGTCACAACGAATTTCATTTTTTATCCCGCACTATTTCTCTACTGGGACTGTGTGACTGTTATTAAATTAAAACATTGTTTGTTGCGTATTGCTTGCGACTGGGATACAGCTGATGTGATAAGGGTAAGTTCTTTTTGTTGAGTTTTCTTCGTATTTGTCGACTATAGCATAATTTCACTTATCTTAAATTTAAGTTTAGTTTTCTCACCAATCAGTGCTAGGTGTTTAATTTTTATGGTAAAAATGACATTTATTATAAATAACTTAAATAATTCATTAATATAAAAATTGGATACCAAGAGTCCTTATTGGTATTTCACAATTAAAATACTACTGACAAAAGCCTTACTAAAGTCCTCAGTGTCAGCCTAACGTCAGTAAGCCTAAAGTCTAAAGTCACTTCTGCCTAAAGGCTTAAGTGTGACACTTAACCGAGCGGTGGTGAAAACGAAATTAGTATCTAATTTTTTTAGGTGCCCCTTAAAGTAAGGGATCGATGGTGACAACGGGCATAGAAATACACCATCACCGATATAAAAGTAACTTACCAAAACAACTTACAATTATATACAACCCTAAAGATTTTATTGAGGTCCAGTCAATGTTGAAAAGATATAGCCAATGAATATATTACATTTGTGTTTGCTACAAAATTTTGACCAGTTCAAACCAATAACAAACCAACAACTTTGATATTCTGTTTGAGATTTTTATCATTTCTATCTATAATTATGATCTCTCTATAGCTCATTATTACGTACCGTCCCTTTTATTTTAGTATGAAATTAAATCAATTAAAAATAAGTAAGTTAATAAACATTACATTTTGTCTGTATATAGAAAGTTATACAGTTCATTTTAGATGATAGATGGATATAAATAATTTGTTGGAGAATAACGTGTTACAAACAATAATTGGCTTTTTGGAGGATATTTCACAGCTTTCGTGGATATCAAAATGAATATTGTGTAAAGACATTATTTGTACACAAAAATAGAGAAAAGGACACACAGACTTTTTTGTCGTAGGGACACGAAGAATTCTTTGCTGTAGAACTAATGAGCAAGCTCTCCCGTAGAAGTAGCATCACCAGCGTGAACTAGAGGTTTATGCTTTTTCATTTCGTATAATGTGTGTGTGGTCGGAGTTCACTTTTGAGAACCGGGTGTTGCAGATATCCATGGGCGGCAGGCCACGCAACACTCTTTTCTGTTGCACGAATGGTCCGTCCGTGAAAGTACCACGAACTCACAGAAGACCGGCTTGAAGTGGAAGTGTTATACTTCTGCGTTTCGTCTGGTGAGTGATCTAGCCCGAACCACTTTAGCATCCACTCATTAAACGTGGTTAAGAGAATCGATAAAATAAAAATACGTATTGAGTTCCGCATCTTAAGTCAAGTACGAGTGTGGTCGCCTGACGTTTGTGTCCAGTTGCTTTGATTACATTCGTACAAGCAGCAGTGAAGAGGGGAATTTACGGTAAAATGGTATACGTATATTTTCGTAATATTTTTATTTTATAAAATTTTACTATAGTGGTGGTTAATAATGTACCATAATCGAACATTTCTATCCAACTATACAACAGTGTAAAAAATGATTGTATAAATTAGCGTTTTTTTCTAGATTCGAAAACAAGTCACTCTGTTCTGGTTCAAAATAATGCGACTTCTGTCTATATATGTCAATGTATTCTCAAATGTACTTTGATAAAAAATTTGTGACTAACTAAACAGAAATATACGCCGCTTTTGTCTGATGATATAAGTTAAAAATTAACTCCTGTTTTAAAATTATTACTTTAAAACAAAGGTTCATTAATGAAAGTAGCGAAGTACTACCGCCTTACTAGTGTACTTCGATGTACCTTATTACATTACATTGAAAACCTTAAGTATTCTTCTGTTAACAAAATTTTTGTGTCCACACTTCACATCAGACTGTCGTCACTTAATCTACATATATATATAATTCTTCTGTACGTGTGTGGTCTCCTCCTGAACAGCTGGACTAATTTTAATGAAGTTTTTTTGTGTGTCTTCAGGTCGTTTCGAGAATGGTTAAGATTCATAATTCGGCCCGATACTTCTTTTTTAAAATTTTTGTTATTTAAATCGTGTGTACAGGACAAAGTCTGTCGGTCCCCTAGTATACATAAATAAATAATGATAATGAAATACCTAATATTTAAAAAAAGCAATAATTCGAATGTCAATTGACTGATGTTTATATGTAACGTTAAGTGTATTTGGACCCGACGCTCCCCGTATTCCTACGTGCTTTACTTTAATAAGATTGTTTGTGTACATATTACACGCACCGGTAAACTCAAGCCGAGGAACATATAAAAGGACGTGGGATTCCTTAAATCTTTCATTCTTCCCCTTGCGTCTAACGACGAAAGTCGATCTGTGGTGTTTGATTAGCCTTTGTTCGATACGCAAATATCACGTTCGTAATTTGCGAATTTTACTTTAGGAAAGAAACTGAAGGGGCGGAAATATCATTTTGTATAATTGAGAATTACTTCAGAGTTCGTTAGAAAGGCTATTGAGATGTATTGTCCCGCAAATTCCATAAGAGATGCATTGCCCGCCATTAGTTTGTCAAATGTATTAATTATGTATTTGGTAAATAATAATCTGCACTTTGTTCTGTTTATAAGTTAATTAATAAATGTTGGTAATCAAATCTTATTTCATGTATTATTCGTATTAATATTAATGGTTTCCATAAAACAAGAAGCTGTATTTACAATCTATCGTTGTAATACTGACTTGGACCTCGCTGTAATAGTAAATTATTCGCTACCCGGACCTAGAAAAATTTCACTGAAACGTGAAAACTCGATTGCATTTAACATGTTAATTGAAAATCTTGAGAATATTGTTAATGCTAATTAATATTACAGATTTTTTCTGTTCAATTTAAATTTACATTTATATCAAATTTGACGTTTCATAACGGATCCGGAATGCTATAATTCTCAGGCACCTGTAGGGTTTGTCTAATTTCATATTGGTGAAATTTTAACATGTAGACATTTACGGCTAAGATTGTCGAGTGGCAAATGAACATATTTTTTACAGTTATGAAATTTTCAGTTTTACGCATTAAGTTTCGTTTTAAATTGTGGTTCATATTCCTGAAGTTTCGAACACTAGATATCTATAAAAGAGCACTGTCTCAAAACAGTCGATTTATACCACACGTTGGTTCTTGCTTAGTCTTATTGTGGCCCCTAATTGAGTCTCAATAAGTTTACACGCTACATTGCAATTTTTAAACTTACTAATTATTTTAAAATTTCTAACCTACTTTTTATGTGAGAAGCTGACATGTCTGTAAAAACTTATTTTATTTCAGAACACTTAACCTACAAACTAATTATGTTAAAAGTTCTGTATCTTATCTTTTTTACAGTATGTATCTTATTTTTCATGAATAATTTGTTGTTTAGAAATTAATATATAATCGTTATTGTAATTTGATATAATTCGTACTATGTTATTTATCTGGAGCCTTTGAAACACCTTTGACATGTAGCTACCCTAAGTAGAATTTAATATTTATTGCATAAATGTAGTAACTCTGATTTTAGTTCCTTACAAATGTAAATTGTAATAACATTCCCTACCTGAAATAAACAAGGTGAAAGTAAAGGAGAATCCTATAGGCTGATTTCTCACATATTTATAGTACAGTTCATGTTTCGTTCTTTATTTTATTTCTTGTCTTATATTCAGAGATAAATAACAAACGCTACAACACGTTAATGCGTGTAGTGTGTGAGCGTCATCTTTGGTGAGCCTTAGTGCCATATTTTTTATATGAGAACGTGGCAACGAGCTGACGGTTCACTTGATGTTAAGTGATAAGTATAACACTTCCACTTCACGCTGGTCTTCTGTAGGGTGTGGAACTTACCGGACGGAGCTTCCCATTAGTGCAACAGAGAAGACCGCTGCGTGGCCCTACCACGGTTAAATGTAAATTTTCTCTTTTAGTTTTCATGTAATTAGTAACCAGAAATAATTTTAATCATCATTAAACGCGGAGACCCGAAACCGTTTATAAATTTGTTGATGCCATTTCAACTTCTAACGTAC